TATATATATATATATATATATATATATATATATATATATATATATATATATATAAGAACATTGAAGTCAGCACTTAGAGGCAACAGTCTGTTTTATGCTAGATGGAATTGTCAGGCGTGACGATTGAATCTAGCCTGAAACAGCCATGTAAATATTGTTCAAATATAAAAGAGAACATTGAAGCCAACACACAGAGACCTCTAAATGCTGACTTCAGTGTTCAATTTTATATTTACACATGCTGTATCTCTGATATTGAGAACTTTATCCCATAAATATAGCTCATCTTAAGAGTATATTTCTTCTTATATATATATATATATATATATATATATATATATATATATATATATTATATTATTCATAATAATGAATGTAACCTTCATTAGTTTATTGGATTAGTTGCATAATGTGCGACAGAAGGAAAATGTAGCTGCTGATCTCTTTTATTCAGAGTCCTGTCACTGGATCTAACTAACGCCTTTATGCATTGTGCCATGTGACAGGACCCAAAAAGTGTGGGTTCAATACCTGGTTAAGGCGGTGGAGAAATTGGAGATGAATTAAGCAGGAGATAACTGATTGCTGACATCGATTAGACATGGAACGTGTAACTAGATCAGTGTACCTCAGTGATGGAAATAAAGGGCTCAGTTCGATATTCCAACTATCTGAAGAAGGCCGGAGCGTACAACGGCCGAATGGTTGTAAAATATATGCCGATGATGAAGAATGATAGTCCGAATAATGTAAATAGTGTTCAAAAACTATGTTCGGGACATGGATATTTGAAAATTTCAAGATGCAAAGTTGTCCTGAAAAAAAAAAAATCTGAAGACGTTAGTCCTTTTGTTTTCCGGAAATAAATAGTCGACTATGCATTTGTCTTTAGCAGAAATGTATCAATGCCATGGGTCTTGGTGCCTATAGGATTTGTTCTTTGTTTTTGGTTGTTTTTTTTTGTTGTTGTTTTTTTAATAAACAGTAGGCAACACAGTTATTCTGGAGGGTTTAACAAACGGACGGACTAACGGGAGTTACAAAATTTTATATATAAATAGAATAAATGTCTTTTGTTTATCGCACCAGAATGAACCCACTTTCATCTTAAATGCATTTGTTAAGCAAACAAAGCTTTTTTCATCCATAGATAAAACATGCATTTCCTAAAATAATGATCGGCTGAATTATATAGAAAATTGTTACATTTTACTTCATAAATAATATATTTTGGAAGCCTGTCTTTAAAGCACTTTGAAAAATGGTTGATGAATGCAATGTTTTGAATAGAAATATAAATTAAACATTTATTTAGTTGTAAATCATTTAAAGTATATGGTCATATGTAATAGAATATCCCAGTTGTATAACCTCACTTAGAAAATACCACAAAACAAATATTTCCTACCGTCTTAAATGAATTTTAACAAAAAATGTGTTTGGTATTTGTTTTGACTTCACATCTCGAAAGCCATTCATCACTGTTCCGTTTTTGAATTAGTGCTTCCTGAACTTGCTTTTGTTCCATCCTTAAATTATTCAGCTACGTAGCTTTATCATCATACACAATGTTGTTGCAGTTTGATGGTAATCTATTGCTGTGCAGAAGTTGGATATCATAGTCGGAGGTTACTGGGTTTTTTATTTATTTTTTTTTTTTTTAGATATAACCGATTTATTTATTTATTTATTTATTTTGCATGATCAGAATTAATCAGAAAAAACCCGGAATAGTGCAAATGCTGCAAGTAAAGATTTCAGAAATATTGTGTTGAAATGCAGAAAGAGAAACTTTTTACAGGTTTTAAAATATAGGGGTAATTTTTTTTATCAATCTGCATATCTACGTCATTCCATTTAGATCTATCTATCTATCTATCTATCTATCTATCTATCTATCTCAGACTGTTCATATAAATCTATCTATCTATCTATCTATCTATCTATCTATCTATCTATCTATCTCAGACTGTTCATATAAATCTATCTATCTATCTATCTATCTATCTATCTATCTATCTATCTCAGACTGTTCATATAAATCTATCTATCTATCTATCTATCTATCTATCTATCTATCTCAGACTGTTCATATAAATCACTCTATCTATCTATCTATCTATCTATCTATCTATCTATCTATCTATCTATCTATCTATCTCAGACTGTTCATATAAATCAATCTATCTATCTATGTATCTATCTATCTATCTATCTATCTATCTCAGACTGTTCATATCTATCTATCTATCTTAGTCTGTCCAGATCTATCTGTCTATATATGTATATTGATAAATATATTTTGGCAGCAACCTTTCTTTCAAACATCTTACACTGTTTACGGCCGACAAGGAAGATTGAGTCAATTTTTTACACACATATATGAGTCTGTTCATATCTATCCACCGATATTAATCGGTTCCTATCTATCTATCTATCTATCTATCTATCTATCTATCTATCTATCTATCTATCAACACATAAATACGCAAACACTTAAACTTACGAATAGACATCATCGTCTGATTCCAACATAGATAAACTAGAATCATTATACACTTACATACATCTAGTAATATTTACGGTCTTTCAGTTAAACTTGGTATGCGTTAATTTCTTGGAAATTCGAATGGACGCGTCATCACTCCTTGAATTCGGAAAGCCATAAATTATACTAACAGGTGTTTAACAAGTCAAATGCATGTGAAACATGATTTACCAATGAAATTCAAACAGCAAAAACGTAAAAAATACCTGAATTTCTTTCTTTTTTCAACATCCATATTTCATTCTCTGATGAAGCTTTAAGAAAAGTGAAACAGGTTATATTTATAAATGTTTCCTATTTGTTCTTTAATGTAGCACGGTGTCAGATACCGATCTACATTTGACCCATATTTGATCCGAACTTCTTTCTATCTATCTATCTATCTATCTATATATATATATATATATATATATATATATATATATATATATATATATATATATATATATAACTATACTCGTTTCGAAAAAACCCTCAAATTTTTGATTTGCCAATAATCAAATCAACCTCGAGGGAAAAAAAAAGGTTTGAAAAAAAGAAAGAGCTAGAAACATGAAAGTCTGTCGAAAAACATCGCACAGATACAGGTTTAAAGCCCAAAGAAAAAAAAACCCGACACGAGTAAACAACTAACTAACAAAAGAGCTCAATACAACCGTAGAGCAGACCTAGATAAACCTAGTGAGCCAGACAAACCTACCTAGGTTTCACCTAAACGGATCGTCAGGGAAAGCCGGCTAAAGAGGCAAAGGGAAACGCATGCGTAGGTTTGTCTGGCTCACTAGGTTTATCTATCTATCTATCTATCTATCTATCTATATATATATATATATATATATATATATATATATATATATATATATATATATATATATATCACATACTGTTCGTTCCTATAAACATTATTTATATTTCAGATATAAGAGAGGTTGTTATTTTTCATCTGTCTTTTCGTATGTTCCTTTATATCTGTTTATCAATCTCACAACTTTCATTATCTGAGTTGATAAGAACGTTTACATCAAAGCCAAAAATCGGCCAGAAACACCTCAGGTTTATGGGTTACTGTGTTTCGGTTCGTTTATTTTTAATGTGATGTGATCCTTCTTATCAAATTGCACAATTTTAACTTGGTCGACTATTCTTATACATCTTTTTGTATCAATGCGTTTATTCTTTAGGACCTACTTTGGTTTTCATCAGCGACCATTCCTGATGTTATTATTTCCCAGCACCGTGATGACAAAACTATTTACTCCTGTTTTAATGGGAAGTGCAATCAATTTGATAAAATCAAATTGGCCACTCAGCCTGAAAATGAGGATTTAGCAACTGTTTATTGTTGTTAGCTGAGGCAAGAAATTGATTTCAACACTAAAGCGCCCACCTTCCCCACTTCTCAAAAAATGAGACTCTCCCATTTAATCCCCTTAAAGCAGCTCTTTTTAAATTTAATCAGCATATCTGATGCTAACGTCGAAGAAAACAACTCATTGTCAGTCTAATGCTTTCCACTGATATCAAATGAAATGATTATATTGAATGAATTACTAGGTTAACTGCGAGGAATGTCTATTCCCGGTGCTAAATAATATTTCTCGCCAGAATAAATAACGCATATTTTTTAAGACTACCATCGATTATTGCTACTACATCGCATGTGGTGTTTCTGATATATACCTATAGAATCTTGAAAATATCCATAAAAGTATCTGAAAATTTATCAATGAACCACCGTGACATAGCTTCCTTGTGGTTTTTCAATATATGGTTTGGGTTTGGGGAGAGATTTATTTTGTTTTATGGCATGTCAGTACCTCAATGGGTTATTTAATGCCAACAAGATTTTTAGGATAGTTTCCTATGAATAGAATATGTATTCTATGTAAGAAATCACTTTATAGATCAGTGTCTCGGTTTATTTTGTTTAACGGCATATCAACCTCAATATGTTATTTAATGCCGACAAGATTTTTAGGATAGTTTCCTATGACTAGAATATGTATTCCTTGTAAGAAATCTGTTTATAGATCAGTGTTTCGCTTTATTTTGTTTAACGGCATATCAACCTCAATATGTTATTTAATGCCGACAAAAGGTTTTGGATAACTTCGTATGACTAGAATATGTATTCTTTGTAAGAAATCTGTTTATAGATCAGTGTTTCGGTTTATTTTGTTTAACGGCATATCAACCTCAATATGTTATTCAATGCCGACAAGATTTTTAGGATAGTTTCCTATGAATAGAATATGTATTCTTTGTGTGGCACCATTTACCGAGGCAAAAAAAGAAAAGAAATGAAAGAGAGGAAGGAAAGAAAGGAAAACAGAGGCGAGACCCAAAGCGTGGATGATAAGTAGGACACCCACGGCTATGGATAAAGGATATTTTGATAAGTAACAAATGGCGAAGAGTGTCATTACAATGGCAGGGAAATTCTGAGTGGATAAAGGAATCGGGTGTGTTCTGGCGACGGGCTGGTGTTATCGGGGATACATAAACAAACCGCTAATGCGGGAAAACATCTGATTAAGCAAACCACAGACCGACTTGCCAAAGAAAAATCTAATTGAAAATGTTATTATGATAATTGACATAAAACAGGTAAACTACAGGGCTTTGGATAGATATGAAAAATTAATTGTGTCAAAGCCGCACACGAGGTGGCGACTGACCGTTTTCTTTCGACAGAACATCTTTAGCCTGCGATAATAAAACTATGTTATCAGAAATGTACACCAAAGAATAAATGGAAACATGGAAATGTTTTGTTTTTTTGTTTTTTTTGAGGCGACGGACGATTGTGTTGTGTCAAATAGACCACCCATTCTGATTATTAGCGATAAGATGACGGACGAAGTCCAAGTGAGAACAAGAGTTACGACCACCACCGATCGAATTGTTCTATTTGCGGCCAGAGAAAATGAGAGCTGCGATTAAAAGAAAGAAAAGGAAAAGAAAAAGATAATTTTTTTTTTTTTGGTAAGCAAGATATTTTTTTTTCCTGAAACAAAGCCCGCGGGATCGTACACGCCCGACTAGACATCATTAGTCGAGTGGTGATCACGTGACGCAAGGAGGAAGCTGTTACCGCCCATGTAGAGGATGGGTATGAGAGTTTGATACGAAGAAGTGGGGAGGGCAGTTCACGCCCCTCTGAAGTATGGTGAGAAGGTGGGAGTAAGAGAGGGCTCCCAAAAATGGAAAGAAGTGGAAAATTCCTAACCAAAAATAAGAGAAGTGGATAGGTATTTAGAATTATCGATAAACCCCCGGCGCCGACAAACCCACCCCGGTTTTAGTCGGCGTCCATATAAGCAAGGCCGCAGCGAGCAGAAATCAGTTCAGTTCCAGCAGACTGTTCCAGCAGACAGTTCCAGCAGACAGTTCCAGCAGACAGTTCCAGCCTCGCATCGGCTGACCAAGATTCGCGCAAATTCCGGACTCCTCTTCAATCCAAGAACAATTATTTTGAAGAGCAACTTAGATCCAGACCACCAAAATAAGTTTTTTCGACTTTCGCCCGAAGACACACCGAAAAAACAATTTCTTAAAGAGCAAACAACTTGAAGTGTTAGAACTCGCCTAACGGAAAACAACGTGTCACAATCCATAGAACGGGTCGGGAGATAGACGCAGTCCTATGTATCCAACAACTAGACATAAAGTTTGTTATCCTTTTTTTTGATACCTTGAATTTTTGAGTTATCATTTTATTTTCTTTTATGCATATTTGTGCGGTGTCACCCCCGTTTGAACCCGATTTGCATTACGGCCCCAACTACTGATTGATTTCGTCTGCCTAAGATCAATTCACAACGTGGGTAGGCAGACTGGAGATCAATGCAGTTACTTTGGTAACCAGACGTTGGAAGCGAGTTGGGAACGACGAGGCTGATATCGAATCTAACCAGATTCCCATCCGAATCACCAAAAGGTTAGAACGTCACATTTGGGTGCCGCTACCGATACCAAGCCAGTTGGTCGTCACAGGACGAGACAACACGACTGACGCGACAGGCGGACGTCACGTTTGGAGCGGCGACACCCGAACGAAGCAGCGAGGAGCGAGCGAAGGCTGTGTTTAAGGACGACACATTTGTAAGAAATCTGTTTATAGATCAGTGTTTGGGTTTATTTTGTTTAACGGCATATCAACCTCAATATGTTATTCAATGCCGACAAGGTTTTTAGGATAGCTTCGTATGAATAGAATATGTATTCTTTGTAAGAAATCTGTTTATAGATCAGTGTTTCGGTTTATTTTGTTTAACGGCATATCAAACTCAATATGGTATTTAATGCCAACAAAAGATTTTTAGGATAGCTTCGTATGAATAGAATATGTATTCTTTGTATGAAATCTGTTTATAGATCAGTGTTTCGGTTTATTTTGTTTAACGGCATATCAACCTCAATATGGTATTTAATGCCAACAAAAGATTTTTAGGATAGCTTCGTATGAATAGAATATGTATTCTTTGTAAGAAATCTGTTTATAGATCAGTGTTTCGGTTAATTTTGTTTAACGGCATATCAACCTCAATATGGTATTTAATGCCAACAAAAGATTTTTAGGATAGCTTCGTATGAATAGAATATGTATTCTTTGTAAGAAATCTGTTTATAGATCAGTGTTTCGGTTTATTTTGTTTAACGGCATATCAACCTCAATATGGTATTTAATGCCAACAAAAGATTTTTAGGATAGCTTCATTATGAATAGAATATGTATTCTTTGTAAGAAATCTGTTTATAGATCAGTGTTTCGGTTTGTAAGGTAGCAGCGAGACGACGTGTATCTGCCTCGATACTCGTTGCCGTAAATGTCTTGTTTAAGTAGCCCTCTCGCCTCTCGTGTAAGCGGGCGAGTCTACTTCTATGGGGGTGTGACGCCAAGACCATTCCGGTCTTGTAACTGGGCGTCTTAGGTTCGATTCCACCTCTAC